GCTGCCCTCTGTGCAGGCCTGGGTTTCCCCCAACTGTCCTTTCCTGAAGGCCTGGGTTTCCCTAACTGTCCTCCCTGCTGGCCTGATCGCCCACAACTTTCCTCCCCTGCTGGCCATCTTGTGGCGGCCATCTTGTGTCCACATAGGTTGGCCATCTTTGACCACATGGGGGCGGCCATCTTGTGTGTTGGAGTGATGGTTAATTTGCATATTATCTCTTTATTTATAGGATTTCCTACAGTATCTTCTAAGTTTACATATTTTGTTTGACTGGTTGAAGATCCGATTGAATATGCAGAAAGCCACACTGTTATGTCCATTGCTGTTTATTGCTCAATTGCCTAATATTCTAATCCCACGACGGTGAAGAATTATTTGTTTGGTACAAGTATAAGCAATGATATAGTTGTGTGAAAAACTTTGGGAGAAGATTAAGTTGAAAAGGAGGCTAGCATATTGCTTTTATGTCCTTTGAAATATAGTGGAAAAGAGCAGGAAATGCCAGAAGACTGGAAGCTTTGAGGCAAAGAGCAGTAGGTGGGACTGGCCACATATTTGGGGCCACAGGCTTCCTCATTCACATATCGGGTACTCCACTGTCCCTTCGAGACACATGGCTTGAAATGACTCCTTTGATGTCGCTGCCTTGCGTCCCGATTTGCACATAAAGTCGATGATATCCCCTGTTTTTGCATAATAGGTTTTGTCATTTTTCCGTTTTATCTGTATGTTCTTTGCATTCATGATTTTTTCTGATATTACACATGGAACTGAAAATAGAAGAAATAAATAAAAACAATTAGTAACCTTTCCTTTTATGAACAAATTAACCTTCAACCCAATGACTAGCTTAGAGGATGAAATAAGGAAAGAGCAAATGTACATCAATGTGGGCCAAGTGTATTGCTTTTGCAATGTGACTGTATGCAACATGCATATCCTCCTATGTAATCAAAGCCTAATATGCTAAGTGTCAGGTCGTCTGTTTGTCGGTTCAGACATTCAAAGTGTAATATGCTAATCATATGCGAAGGCTGCTCAACCACTCGCTATGGTGCACACTGACTACCAGGGGGGAAGACACTCTTACCCCCTGGTGGTCACTGTAGGTTAGCTTGCTGCTGTGGTCTGGCCGATTAGGACTGAGCGAGACAGGCGGGACACATCCTGGAGCCCTCCCTTGGTCCCTTCCTGGCTGGCCAACCTCCTGCATCCCTCCCCAGCCCAGATCGTGCACCAGTGGGGTCCCTCGGCCTGGCCTGCAGCCTCTTGCAATCTGGGACACCTCAGGGAATGTCAGAGAACCAGTTTTGGCCCGATCCCACATGCAAGGCTGAAGGACCCCAATGGTGCATGAATTTGTGCACCGGGCCTCTAGTATATAATAAAAGGGTATTATGCAAATTGACCCTAATGGTGGAAGGACTGGGAATGAACCTGTCGCAAGAGCTGCCCCTAGTGGTCAGTGCGATCCCACAGGGGGACCTCTGCTCAGCCACAAGCCGGGCTGATGGCTGCGAGTGCAGCGGTGGTGGTGGGAGTCTCTTCTGCCTCCTTGGCAGCACTGTGGATGTCTGACTGTGGCTTAGGACCAATACCTGTGTGCAGTGGGCCTAAGCCATCAGTCACTCATCTCCAGAAAACTCCCAGGCTGCCGGAGGGACATCTGACTGCCAGCTTAGGTCTGATCCCCTGAGAGCAGGCCTAAGTCGGCAGGTGGACATGCCCCCAAGAGGGTGCAGGCTGGGCTGAAGGACCCCTACACCCAAGTGCATAAATTTTCCTGCACTGGGCCTCTGGTATTGTAATAAAGTTTCAGACCTTTTCTTTTTTCCTATGGGCAAACTGTTCTTACATTGTAGAACTTTATACATGCTAAAAATTTTAATTTGCTTTAAAAAAATTTTTATTTATGGAGTGATATTGGTGGATAATATTATATAGACTTTAAATGTTTAATTCTATGAAACATTACCTGTATACTGCATTGTGTGCCCATCACCCAAAATCAAATCATCTTTCATTGCCATGTATCTGACCCTCTTTAATCCTCTACTGCTGTCCCACCCACTGGGCACTACTGGTAACCACTCTAGTGTTGTCTTTGTCTGTGAGATTTTGTTTCTTTTTATTGTTTATTCATTGTTTGTTTCACTTTTATATCCCATATATAAGTGAAATCAATGGTTCACATATTTTCTGTCTGACTTATTTCACTTAGCATGATATTCTCAAGGTCCATCCATGTTGTTGCAAAGGGCAGTATTTCAACTCTTCTTATGTCACAATTTGAAGATATCATGGACTCCTATTTCTCTTCTCTTGATGCAAGTATTTTATATTCTAGTTCAGCCATCACTGTCATTGATAAGGCTTTAGACATAGCTAAAAGTTCTGTTCCAACACATCCCATTAACTATTACATGATGAAACATGATAGAATAACACATATGACTCCTCATATCCAAAAGTTTTGAAATGTTTCCCAGTACATTCAGAAGTATATACTATGTGAGTTCCACACACGTGCCAAAACACATTTTCTGATCTTCCCTTTCTGACTTTAGTGCTCCAAGCAAAATTTACCTCCTTACTTTAATAGGCCATATGTCTGTGTAATTTTTTACATGATGTTGGAGGTTGTCTTTGATGATCTTAAATGCTCTCTGCGTATTTCAATTCCAAGACTCAAATACAGTCTTAGCTCCTTCACCGAACTGATTTGATGTCCCCAGATAATGAAGACTGCTTCCTATTCTAGGTTGTGGGAGCAGGTCTTGTTTGTGCCGGGAGACATGTGCTAGACTTGTCCATCTACTCAATCCTTTCAACTTCAGATTTAGAATTTATCTTTGAAATGCAACACTTTCCCTCCCATAAAATCTAGGTTGGCACTATTTCTAGACTATTCTGACTTGGGTATATTAACTTTGATTTCCGGTCCTGGACTTACTGGGTTTGCTGTAATCTCCCGCAGAAGGGGACACATACACAGGAGAGGATGAGTCATGTAGGGTCCACAGTGGGATCAGCTAATGTATCAGAATCAGCCTCTCTGAATGTTCCTGTTTAAAGGACCTTTATCATTGTTCACATAGGGATTCTCCAAGCTCACAGCCCTACACACGAGTCTCCGAATGTGAGACATTGAGCAGGAGAGCTGTTGGTGAGCACAGTTCTAGACTCTGACTGCATGACTAGTAGACCGCACACCGGCTCATAAGCATCACCCTCATGGTCTCAGGATCCAGAAGAATCTTGAGAACTTACCTATGCATCTTGGGGGTTTGGACCACTTTGCAGAACTACAGGTTACATATTGAGGACCCCGGAGTTCATAGTAGTCCTGGCATTGGTATTCCACTCTTGACCAAGGAGGGTACCCTTCCGATGGGATGGAGGTGATGGCTCCATAGTTAATTGGTGGAGGAGGCCCACACTTGTCTGCAGATTCTGAAAAAGAGCATTTTAACTGTTGAAGAACAAATTGTAGTTTTGTTGGAAACTATTCATGTAAAGCTGCCCAGGAAGTATTGTCCCTCTTTTGCGTTTTAAACCTTGTAACCACCGTGTGGTTAATGCCTTAGATCACCCATTGTGAAGTGAGGACTCCATACATGTAGACT